ATGTTACTTCAGATTAATTAGAGAATCCCAAAGTTTCCTTCTCCTAACAGCATCATTCGGTGCATAAATGTTAAGAACAGTACATTCAAAAAGATCATGAGTGGAACCTGATAGGATGATGAGATTTCTGGTGCTGCAACACTCTGACAAGAAGAATATATCTGGGTTCCAGATACATAACAGTCCCCCTGAACTCCTTTTCAGCATCCACAGCCAAAAATTCCATATTGTCCCATGGCCATACTGATTTTGCATCTTTAACTTGTATATTACTTCGCTTGGTCTCTTGAATAAGAAGGATATCAATTTGCCTATCCTTAACCACACTTTTGATTCTGCATCTTTTCTCCGACCTTCCCAAACCTCTAATATTCCAGGATAACATTTTCATTACAAACATATTTGCTACACTAACCCCTAGTTGACAGACCTGTTAAGTGCTACCATCTACCAAACCTTGATCAACACCTGCTACTCTTTGTGTATCTCTGACTTCCATATCAACTAATTTGCTTATCACTTCCGAGTCTTTACCTTCAAAATTGATGCCCAGAGATTTACCAAGATGAATGTTGTCTTGTGCTTCCTCAATTAACTTCTTTCTTCTTCGACTAAGTCTACTGGACTGACTATTTTACAAAATTGACAGGGATATAGCTGTTGCAGCAGCCCAAAAGATTGCTCCCTTTTGGAAAAAATTGGGAAATGGATGACCTTTGCAGTAAAGTCTTCTCTACCCTTTACTTTTGCCACCTGGTCCACCATTTTGCCTATGAATAGAGAAGTTGACTAATGAACCTTGAGAAGAACTAGACCAGTCTGCACTATTCAGGGCTTAAGCCATATGATTACCAAGAAAATTGAAGGTATGTGGTGACAGGTTACAGTAGAGAATAGGTGCAACAGGGGGCCCAACACCAGATACCCTCTGCTGGGCTTCCCCAATAACCACCTCCAGGTTGATATTGGGCCTCTGTCTTTCCGACCCATTAATACTTTTCATAAAGCCCTGAGTACAAATACCTTCCTCTAGTGCAGTGATTTTATCTACATTCAGCTATACTGATGGCTCTTTCAACCTCCCTCTCCTCAATCTACTAATAGCTCCCTCGAGTGGTTTTTCAAAACTGCTACCTACAACATCTGCTTTAGTCTCGGACACCCAACTTTTGTGATCATCTTTAGCAGCTTTGGTGCTCTATGATGTGACCATTTTGCCGTTGGCCACCACCTCCTCCATGCATGCTCCCCTTCATATCCCTTCATCACTGCCTCTTTCACCATCTTCTAACGCAGGGCTATGAACATCTCTTTGCTTCTGATCATCCCCATTTATAGATGCTCCTTTCCCCAGCTGTCTACAAACACATTGGGACATACTCCTCTCCATTACCATAGAGGAGTCAAGATTCTCGCAGACTCTCACGGGAAACTCCTTGCCTTTATTTTTTACCATCACCACACTATTGATAAAATCCATACAACTGGTGATAATTCTAACCTTGCCATATTGAATGGAAGTTCCTCTGGTACTATTCTCATCAAATTGGACCACTTCTCCCCATAAAGTTCCTATACTTCTGAAGGTTTCAACATTCCATAAATTAAGGGGAATGCCAAAGCAACTAAGCCAAACACATCTCTCTTGAGTAGGAATTGCTCTAGCTTCCCATTCCTAAATTGAAACACACCAGTCGAAAATCCACTCCTTTAAACTCTCAACACGACTCTTCATCTCTTGGATTGAATTAAAGGTTAGCACAACAACACGTCCACTACCCATTCGGGCAACTGTGTCCTTGAGCCCTCTTCTCCTGCATTCTTGCACAAAATTTGAGAACGCAAAAAAGAATTTAAGTTTAAGAAATAGACTCTCATATAGCCAAGCATTCCTAGCTTCCTTAGCATGAATGGAAAAGAAGCTATTTTGACAAGGAGTTCCCTTTTTCACCACCTCAGCAAAGGACTTGAACCCTGCTGTTTGGAGCGCTTGATGAGGGCCAAGCGCTAATCTGGGATTGGCATGATGAGGGCCCATTGTTGATCTGGGATTGGCATGTGGATGACTCACTCTTCACCAAAGAGATAGCTTATCTTTGTTTGATTGCAAGCCTTGTCCTTTTTGATACTCTACTTCCTTGACTTTAAGTTCCTTGTTATCCCACCATAATCCATTTGCTTTTTGCACAGCCACTGCAACAGCTACAAGGAAATCGAATCGCACAAACACAAATCTTGATCCAGTGACTTTCCTTTTTTTCCTGGGTATGTAGACATCTTTCACTACTCCGAACTCAGAAAATAGCCCGAACAGGTTCTTCGGATTCATGGACGCAGGGATCTTATCCACAAAAACGGTAAACAAACCTTGATGATGGGGATCGAAAGCTAGTTTCCTAACTCCATGCTTTCTAATTATTGGGCTCCATCCTCCTAAATCTGTCAGGCTTTTTTCTTTCTCTCTCGGATTACTAGGTCTTGCTCTCCAACACTCCCTCTCTGTTTTCTCTCTCTCCACTTTCTTTTTTTTTATCAGATTTCGACATTAAGTACTTCTTATTGGCTATCATTAGCAAAATCCTTTAAAAAATGTAAGAATCTCATTTCAAACTACAGAAATCTTAAAACATAGGGAAAATATTTTGTGATACATTTGTTAACTTAATCAAAAAGTTAAAAAGTCTGCTTGGTTAGAGTTTTCCAAAAACTCTTTTCAAAAAATTCTACTTTCTTATTTTTCGTGTTTTTTTGTTTTACTGAATTTTTTGATATTTTAAGCAATTTTTTTTAAATTTTAGACATACCTAACATAAATATACCTAAAAAGTAAAAAATTTGTGAAAGAAACCTTTTAAAAATTCACTAAATACCAAAAATACAAAAAAATAAGAGAATTCAGTACATTTTTTTGTATTTTTATGTATTTATTAATTTTTAAAAATATTTTTCACAAATTTTTTACTTTTTAGATACATCTAAATAAGGTGCATCTAAAAAAGTAAAAAAAATATTTAAAATTTTAAAAATATTCACTAAAAACAAAAAAATACGAAAACCAAAAAAACTCAATTTTCAAAAAATTTAATCTAAAAAACTCAAATCAAACACACTGATTAATTTTTTTTTAAAATAATTATTACAAAAGATTCAAATATCTCAGTAATTTATGATTTTCGATTCAACTAAAAAGTTATTCTCAGAGATATTTACTTTTTTTATCTCATAAAAAAAGCAAAAAAATAAAAATAAAAATTTCTACAATAGTCAATTTCCAAACGACACTTGAATCAATTCCAGTAGATTTGGAAGCCATTTCGAAAGAAGTTGGGGAGCTTTGGTTAGAGACTGGACAAAGTTTGACAAATCCTTTCATTATCATATTATTGAGACTGGACAAAGTTTGACAAATCCTTTCATTATCATATTATTAGGGTGTGGTTCGGTAACATTTTCGTTTTTAATTTTCTGTTTATATTTATGAAAATTTAAAAAATTCAAATAAAAACTTGTTTGGTAAAATTTTTGATTTATAAATCAGTGGTTTTAGTTTATAAATTTAGCCAAAAAAATAAAAACACAAAAAATGTGTTTCCGTTTTGAGTTTTGAGTTTTTTTTTTTTTACCACCCAACACTAGCCACCACCCGCCACCATTTTCCACCACCGTCTTCCGCCACCACCACTTAAGCTCCGACGATCTCTTTCATAGATTCCCATGGACAACCAAACAAACTAAAGTTTTTCACAAGATCATTTACTGTTCATGCGGAATTCATGGCTAAATGTGTGAATAGACAATAAATCTTTTATTAGGGATTAAAATACTTGATACGATTTTAATATGATATGAAAGTGTGACAAAACACTACAGAAAGATGCGGCACTTTAACTAAGCAAAATAATAATAAAATAAATTATTTAAAAAAAAAAAAAAGCATACACTTTGCATGAATGCGGAATCTAGAAAGCTTTTTCTTCTGGTTTAAAGATCTCCCCCCCGCCACGACCACCCACCTGCCACCCACTGGCCACCACCACCCACTCCTCGTTACCACCACCACCACCACCCACCACCCACCTGCCACCCACCACCACCACAACCCACTCGCTACCACCTACTACCCGCCACCGTCACCCACCCATCCACCCACCACCACCACCCACCGTCACCACTTTCCACCACCGTCTTCCGCCGCCATTTGCTACCACTTGCCATTTCTCACTTTTTTTTTTATATTTTTTAAAATTTTTAAACATTTTTTCAATTACCAAACACGTTTATAGTTTATGTTTTTCTAAAAATAAACAAAAAATAAACAAAAACTAGTTTATAAATTTTTTATAAATATAAACTGAAAACGTAAACGTTACCAAATACACAACATTTTTGAACTTATGAAAGTTTTTCCCTTATTCAAAAAAAAAAAAAAAAATTGCCTACCACCTAAAATTATCTTTGGAAAATAATTGGTAGTATTATAAGCATACAATTTTTTAGATTATGCATATATTTATCATCTGTCTCTATTGAAAAAAAGACTGAAATCAAATCATACGTGGTTATTATTGTCACAAGTAGTTCTAGAGTCCCAGAAAAAAAAATTCAAAATTTATCTAGAATTTGCAATGAATAGCCAAAATTTATTCATGCTATGATACATCAAGAAGTTTAACCTTACACCATAGATCTAAAAATCTGGATAATTTTCTAGGCACTTTTCCAGGCGCCTAAACTTTTCTCTATTGTCATAGCTCGAGACCTGCGATAATTCTCTGGGTAAACATGAAATTTCACATTGCTGCCAATGCACAACTTCATGGCTTGTGACTCAAAAATTACTAAACAATTACTAGTATTATTCCACTACCTACCTCAGTTCAACCTTTCTTCAAAACATTCTTCATCTTGGCGATTTACAACTAACCATATGCCTTAGATTCAAATCAATTACCATGAGAAAAAGAAAAAAAGACAAAAGAAAGTCAAATCAATGATGGAGCTGCAATTATAATTGTTTCTAACCAATCAATAACACAAACAAATTTGTATTCATCATGAAACTGGTTTTATAATGAACAAAAGCAAATAAACCTTTAAACTGTATAGCAAGAAAAGTTGATCTAGTATCTTTTGATCTTCTTTTTACCTCAATACCATCTCCTCTTAGTTCTTTTTTCTCTTTTAGAGATGTGATTGCTTTCTTTATACAAGTAAAGTAGCAGACATTTACAAACACGCGCACTCTACCTTCCTGACATTAGATTGATCGGACCGTGGTTTTCATGGAACGAGCCAACATCCCAATCCTCAGTTGATGATGAAAGTGTCATTAGTGCAACCACAATTGATCTCATGCTCGGTCTCAATAGAGGATTTTCTTGTGTACAAGCTCTGGCAAGTTGTGCCATCTGCAACCAAAAACCACCACCATACTTTTATCAAAATTAAGAGCAGTTGTCCATAATTTGAACTAGATAGGATCTGATTTCACCTTACGGACTGAGTCAAGAATGTAGTCATCACCAAGCTTGGGGTCAACTAGTTTGCACAAATATTCTTTAGGATCAGACTGATTAGGAATGTCATCAAACTGTATATAACATTGATAAAACACAATTATCATTTGTTCTTGTAGATTCGGGTATTATTAATAAGGATAAAATACACCTATAGTCCCTAAAGTATGCATTCTGTGTCATTTTGGTCATCAAAATTTAAATTTTGCCAATTTTGTTGTTAAATTTTTCAATACGAGTCAAATTAGTCCCACTTTAAATGAGCTATCTAAATCATCAGCATAATTGTAATAAATAAACATGTGGTCCTTAAACTATACATTTTGTGTCATTTTGGTCCACAAAGTCATCAATTTTGTCACTTTGGTCCCTAAACACTAATGAAAAAGATGAAGCATAGCCTAATAGTATTTAGGGACTAAATTGACAAAATTTAAAATTTGGGGACCAAAGTTACACAACATGCATACTTTAGGAACCATAAGTGAAATTTATTTTTATTTCGTTAATGATTTAGACAGCTATATGAAATGGGACCAATTTGACTCAAATTAGAAACTTTAGGGATGAAATTGACAAAATTGAAACTTAAATGGCCAAATTGACACAAATTTGCATAATTTGAGAACTGTGAATGTGTTTTATTATACTATTAATTAAAAGTTGAGAAAGGGTGGAAGATTTACCAAAGCAACAAGTCCTATTGATTCACTAACAACGTCAGTTGTCTTGGTAATGGCTTCCTTAGCAGATATTAATTCATAAAGAACAACTCCAAAAGCATATACATCTGTCTTGGGGGAAACTTCCCCGTACTGAGCATACCTACATCCAACAACAACAAAAATTGGAATGTGTTCATGTTCAGACAAATATATATCTAATAAAGTGTATTCAAGATCCTTGCATCAATGGAATCCCATTATAAAGTTTTTTGGATCAATTGAAAATATATTGTACTAATTCCTCTAGTTGAAGCGTGTCATACTAAGAAGTATAGATACAGATACAGACACGGATACTTATTTGAATTGTTTAAAAAGAAAAGATACTACATAGTAGTAATGATTAACACAGACATCTTGTTTATATAATAGTAATTATGAATTATGACTCTTTTTACCGTTCATGGCAAGATAACTGTGTCTTGGGGAGTGTCCAAAGGCAAGATATGTATGTTTGCGAAGTATCCCCAAAATGTTAGGGTAGAGAAACAAAATTAAAAAATGGGACATGCCACGTGGCGTGTCCAATAAGTATTCCAACATGTTGGCAAAATTCACAGTTCTGGGGATTGTGTGGCATTTTAATGTTCTTGTCGCAAAAATTTATAGCAGTAGAATAACCTTTTGAATGATTAGCTAGGGTAAGTATGACAATATACGAGCATGAGAAATACACCATAATTCTTTCTTATAATACGTGTAAAAAAAATGTATAGCATAAATTTAAATGACAATATTGTCTCATTGAGAAAAATGAGGAAAAGAGATATATGAACAAATCTTACTCTGGCGGCATATATCCAAAAGTACCCGCGAGATGCGTGTGCAATGAGGTACTCCCAACTTCAATCAATTTTGTTAGCCCAAAATCTGCAACCTATAAAATAAGGTTTAGACTAAGTGAAATAATAAATCACAATCCAAAACGCTAGTACATGCATTTTTACAACCTTTGCACGGAATTTTTTATCTATCAAAATATTTGATGACTTAATATCACGATGAATATAGGCAGGGACAATATGCTCGTGGATGTATTCGAGTCCTCTAGCTGAATCGAGGGCAATTTGTACCCTAGTAGACCATGACAATGGATCTTTCCCTGAAAGCAACACAAGTTATATTTACATAAGATAGATTACAATTACAAGTGAAAAAATTCACACTCGGTAGATTTGTATATATTTTCACCTACACCACGCAGATGTTGACTTAAGTTGCCATTCTCAATGTATTCATAGACTAAACACAATGAGCCCTCCACACAGTAACCTATCAAATGCACCTGTATTTGATTTTTGATGTGATGATATTAGAAATGCCTATACTTGATGCAAAAATCCAAAAGGTAAACCACTTTAAAAATGATTTAGGAATAAACACTTCAAAAGCTACTAAAGAATCATACAAATATATATCGAATGTTAAATTGTATTATCAACTGATAGCCCCAAATTTGCAAGACATCTCAAGTGAAAAAGTATGGTCTGTATGTGTTATCCTTACCTAACCCATAATTCAAAATACCAATCAACAAGTTAATGAATATACAAATTGTGTTGCTAATCTCTACACTAGAACTTGGAATCTGTCTTGCTAATGTTCTTGGCATCATAGAGATCAACTAAAACAACTTGGAACATTCTAGCACTGTGAATAAAAACAAAAAGAGCAAAAAGAGAAAAGCACAATACCAAGTTCAAGTGATGAACTCGTGTTAGAACTTTAAGCTCAGCAAGGAATTCTTTTGATGCCTGCATATCCATCTTCTTAATTGCAACTTTCTGAAATAGTAGCAGTATGAAGAACTCAGCTCTTAATACTTTGAAGAAAACTACAACATCCAATAGGTTAGAGGACAAAAAAAAAAAATCCAAGAACCCAGAAACAATAAATTAGAGGAAACAATATGAAATGATGTTTAGTTACTGCATTTTGACATAGATCCAAGTCTCACCTCCCTAACCATGTTGTTAAGCATGAATTTTAAGAATTTTCTAGGCAATGATCATGCTTTTTCTCTGATACAGAACCTATTTATTATGAGTTTCAAACCTTTTAAGAAATGGCATGTTCACAATTTAAACATCTAAACGTGCTATATTTCTTGTAGAGGCATTGGCTCATGTCACGAATCAATTATGCATTTATGAAACTAAACAATATTTATACTCTACAACCTTCAAAGGATTTGTATGACTAATTGAATGAAACAAGAAGGAATTACAAGTTAGTGAGATGATTGGTACTAGTAGTATGAATGAAACAAAAACAAACCTGGCCTCGTAGCTTTCCATAGTAAACAGACCCAAAGCCACCTTGACCAATCTTATTAGCAATGCTAAAGTCATTTGTAACCTTGGAAAGCTCTTCATAAGAGAACTCCACTGATTTGTCAGTGATACCCTTAATCCCTTGGGAAGCACCGCTACCTACAAGAGGTCCTTCTTCTGAAGTTTCCTCCAAGCTAATTACGGGACCTAAATCATAAGAAAGGAAAGATAGGAAAGATTACTCATTCGATGAAAAATATTTCACGTGTGAAAATCAGTGTTTTTGCTTCACATCCACAGTACTTGAGCAAATAACTAATCAAGCAACACAATATTTGGTCATCAGAAAGTGCAATGCAAACAGGGGGCCACTGTTCAGTAGTTAAAACTCGGCCTATCAACCTTGAGGTTGTGCGTGACAACCACTTGTGCACATGTTGCCAAAGGTATTTAGGTTTGTACCCAATCTACCGTCCCCATAGTCCATTCAATGAGGACTCATGCGGCCATACTTTTTATAAGAAACTGCAATGCGACAACTAGGGTTTTAGTGGAAACTTTTACAAATAACATGACCCCATCCATCAATAAGCTTTTCAATTAATTGGACCTACTAAAGGATCTAGCTAACTAGAGAAACAGTCACTTCCAAAAAACCATTACTTCTCTTGCATTTGGGAAAATTGAAACAAACAAGAATATTTTGTTTGTTTGGTTATGTTTTCGTTTATTCTTTTCAAAAACAAAAACTACTAAAAGTTGAAAGCACCAATCATTTTCATTTTTTTGTGAGAACACTTTTGAAAATTCGAAAATAACTCTTTAGGGTTTCCTATAAAGTGTTTTTTTTTTTTTTTTTGGTGGAAAATTTTCTTAAAAACTGTTTTTGGAAATAGTTTGCCAAAGAATTTTTATATTTATTTTTTTGTATTTCTTTTAAAATGAATGCACAAAACTGAAAATGAAAACACATCCAAAACAAACCCTGATTCCTTATCAATTGAATAGTTTCTGCTCGTATGGGATTCTTCTATAGATGACTACATGGACCATTGTGTAAGGTGATCATATATGGAACCAAAACCTAATAAAGGAATAGAAGAGTAAGAGCAAAGAATCAACAAATCATGTAGATTATTGGTTCAATAGAAATGTGTAAAGTTTCACACTTATGAACTCTATTAGGTTGTGTTTGGATCATGAATTTGGGTAGAAATTTGAAAGGAAAGAGGGAAAAGACAGGCGAAATCTATGATCCAAACACAACATTTTCCCTTTCTCTGTCTTGCTAATGTTCTCGGCATCTTTCACCTATATTTTTCGTTTCCCTTTTCCAATCCCGACCCAAATCCTCATGATCCAAACATAGCATTTTCCCTTTCCCTAACTTTCACCTACCTTTTTTCTTTTATTAGCCCTTTCCCTTCTCCTTTTCCCCTACTTTCACCTACATTTTCCCATTTGTTTCAAAATCCATACCCAAATCCCTTTTATATTTCTCTTTCCAAATCTTTATTGAAATTCATGATCTAAACATATCATTTTCTCTTTTCCTACCTTTCACCAACATTTTTCCTTTCGCTTTCCCAATCCCTACTGTGGGGATATATTTTCTGAGTACCAACACGTGGCAAGGTGACGCCGATGTGTCAGCCGAGGTGCCACGTGTCCTGGAGAGAGAGAGAGAAGCAGAGACGAGACGAAGAGAGAGAGAGAAGCAGAAACGAAGAGAGAGACGAAGACGATCGAGCTCGAGGTCGAGATCGACAGTGATCAAAGCCCTAGACGAAGACGATCGAAGTCCTAGACGAAGACGATCGTGATCAATAGTGAGAGCTCTAATCGTGATCGATGATCGAAGCCAACAGTGACCAGGTTCTCTTCCTTTCTCCTCTTTCATTTCTTTGCTGTCTGTAAAGTGCCGTGTCCGAGAGAGACGAGGCGAATCCGACACAGATCTCACACCCGCACCCGTGTCGTGTCGTGTCGACACGGGTACTTCGCCCCAAAGTGACGAGTCCATGTAACATAGGTTGAAAGCACCAATCATTTTCATTTTTTTGTGAGAACTGAAAATTCGAAAATAACCCTTTAGGGTTTCCTATAAAGTGTTTTTTTTTTTTTTTTGGTGGAAAATTTTCTTAAAAATTGTTTTTGGAAATAGTTTGCCAAAGAATTTTTATTTTTATTTTTTTGTATTTCTTTTAAAATGAATGCACAAAATTGAAAATGAAAACACATCCAAAACAAACCCTGATTTCTTATCAATTGAATAGTTTCTGCTCTTACGGGATTCTTCTATAGATGACTACATGGACCATTGTGTAAGGTGATCAAATATGGAACCAAAATCTAATAAAGGAATAGAAGAGTAAGAGCAAAGAATCAACAAATCATGTAGATTATTGGTTCAATAGAAATGTGTAAAGTTTCACACTCATGAACTCTATTAGATTGTGTTTGGATCATGAATTTGGATAGAAATTTGAAGGAAAGAGGGAAAAGACAGGTGAAATCTATGATCCAAACACAACATTTTCCCTTTAGCGAATCAAATCCTCAGGCAGATATTAGTGTGACTATATTTTTCGTGTCCCTTTTCCAATCCCGACCCAAATCCTCATGATCTTAGCATTTTCCCTTTCCCTAACTTTCACCTACCTTTTTTCTTTTATTAGCCCTTTCCCTTCTCCTTTTCCCCAACGTTCACCTACATTTTCCCTTTTGTTTCAAAATCCATACCCAAATCCCTTTTATATTTCTCTTTCCAAATCTTTATTCAAATTCATGATCTAAACATCGGGATTCTTATATTTCTGTTACAGGTCAGTCAGGTGCCATCTATTCTGCCAGTGCTCTCCAACTGGTTACTAAGCGGGCAGTGTGGTCGGAAAATCACCCACACACCTACCAAAATCCCATGATCCAAACACAACCCTTTCCCTTTCCCTAATTTTCATCTACATTTTCCATTTCCATTTTCGTTTTCATATCCCTATCCAAATCCCTTAAATTTCCACCCAAATTCATTATACAAACACAGCTAAGCAACTTTTGAAGAAAAATGGGCATACATGCACAGAGAATCTTTTTTTTTGGATAAGTAAGTAATTTTATAACCAAAAATACATACACAGAATGGTCTGTGAAGAAAAATCATAAAATAAGGATTACCAAGCTCTTGGTCAAGTGCATGATGATGATCATCAAATGCATTTCTGAGAAATGAGCCCTCCACCACCACATTCTTCTTATTCCTTCTGCAGAACCCAACATAGAAACAAACTGCAAACATCAGAGCCCCAGCAACTCCTGCAACAGATATGCCCGCAATCACTCCACCAGTGATTCCTCTTGCTTCAACTGTGATCACCACCCTCTAAGCTTTAGAGCATCATCAAAAATAATCTTCAAAGCCACATATTTTTAGCTCTTAAAAAAATTACTAGGACAAATTATACCCGTTATCCTATATTTTATCTTCAGTCATTTTGGACCCTTAATTTTAGATTACGTGACCTCGTTTGAGATGTGAGTTAGTTATTTGACTTTTTAATTATTTTTTGTTATTTTAGTTTGAACAGATAGAGTTTTTTGATTTTTTAGATTTTTTGTGCCTATTTAACAAAAATAATTTATTTTGTCTTATATGACTGTTTTAGCCCAAATGTCTTTCCAAACTAGCTTTCGATCGATAATGGTTTTGACAAAAAAACGTATCAGTGAATTGGTTTAGATTAATTTATTGAATTAATTAAATTTATAATTGTGTTTATAAAAATATGATACATGTTGCCATGTGGGTATTTTTCATTAAAAAGTATTTATAGTTGTGATCAATTGAACTAATTTAAGATAAAATAAAAAAATTAAAATAAAAGATAAATTATTAAGATAAAATAAAAAAATTAAAATAAAAGATAAATTAATTAAAATTATAAAGATCAAAATGATGTAAGAACTAAAATATAGGAATTATATATTGAGATCCTTAACAAATGGGAAATAAGAACCCACCTTTTGAGCTGGAAAAAAAAAAAAGAAGAATAAGAAGATAATTAGATAGAAATGTAGAAAAGATTTAGACAACTGAAAAAAAAAAAAAATGTGAAGATTACATGAAAGTGGCATAAGGTACCTTGATTTAAATGGAGGGTAAGTTCCATTTTGATCTGCATTAAATAGAAAAGCAATTAACTTTCAAATTTAAAAAAAAAAAAAAAGCAATTAACTTGACAAGGTTTAAGCAGTATAAAACTTGGACAGAGGATAAATATAAAGGAAAATTCTAATTCATATTAATAGCCTAAGAGAGTAATACTACATGGTGTGCTAGCATATGATTTGGTGGTCTTATCGGTGCCAACCTTGTTGATATTGATTTGGTTTGCTATGATACTTTTTGCACTCGTTCATCTCTTTTCTTTTATTGATATAATTGTCTTCTAATTCATCAATAAAGTTTCTTTTTCTTTGTTGATCAAAAAAAAAAACATGCACAATTTTTTTTAAATAGAATTTTACCTAAAAACAATAATGAGTGGTTTAGATTCATTTTGTTTATGGATCTGATATTGCACTATGTAAATCTCATTGACATGTTTACCTTTTTTAAAATTTGGATAATCTTTCTGAATTTATAGTTTTACTTGGAAGAATAAAAGGCCAATGATGGTTTAAAAGGTTGTGATTAATCATAGACATTGTACAAAAACAAATCAGAATGTGTAAAAAAAAATATGACATGTCAAAAAATATATTGAAATTGTATATATATTTTTTATAGAATTTTCATTTCCATTAACATGACTTTTGTAAAATTTTAGAAAAAGAAAGAGAAAAAAAAAAAAGGAAAAAGAAAATGACAAAAGTTAAAATCTTTTGTTGTAATGGTGAATAGACACGTAAGCTATCTCAGGGCTCTTACATAAATTTTTTTTTTGCCAGGCGTGATAAACGAATCAAACAGTTTGAGTTTGACTCGTGTTTAACTTGTTAAAAACTCATTCGAGCTCAGTTCGTTAAATAAATAAACCATGTTTAAACACATTTTAGAGCCCGTTAAAGTTTTCAAATCAAGTTTTAACAGTTAATTGTTCGTTTGGCTCGATTCAATAAGTCCAAAATTATATAAAATATCAAATTACTCGAGTTCGGCTCAATAAAAACTCATTTAAGATCGACTCGAAAGTTTAATCAACCAAACTTGAACAAATTTTAAAATTTATTAAAATTATCAAACTAAACTTAAACAATTAACTATTTGACTTGTTCGATTTGTTTCTCATCTCTATTTTTGGCATAGAAAAGTTACATGTAGCTTTCCACAAGTAGGGGAGAGAATGGTAAAAAATCTTTGCAAAAGTATTTGACAGTACACAAATAAATTTTTTATTAGTTTTGTTATTATTACTAGATATAAAAGTAATGAGATTTATATTAATAAATACATATGAAATTTGTTATACAATTTGATAAAATATTCCCTTAAACTTTACTTAAAAATTAAAAAAGGGATGAAAGCACTAGTCTTGCGTAAGGGTAATAGTGAAGGAAAATAATTGAACACAATCATATTTGAGGAAGTACGTATGTATTTATATAACTACTTAAGTATTATTTGAATCTACTTATTTGCAAGTTATTGTTATTATTATTATTATTATTATTATTATTATTATTATTTTATGGATAAATGATATTACAAATGAAATTTAATTAATTTCAATCATATGAAAATTAAAGACAATACACGATTAATATAAAGAAAAATTGCAAGATGGGAGAAAATTTCCAAACAAAAATAAAGGAAATAAGACCCATATATAAGTGGGAAGATTCAAATAAAATACAAGTATTCTAGCCAACATAAAATGAAAAGCTGTAAATTTTGAATTCATGTGCATTTTAAATTTAAAAAACTCAAAATAAATTTTAAAAGTTTAGATTTTTTCTTATATTTTATTTTAGAAGTTGAGCATTAAATTTCCATTTTAAAGCTAAAATAAACTTTGTTATTTTTATTTTTATTTTTATTTTTAAAGTATTACCAAACAAGGCCTTGCATAAGAGTGAGAGTCTATCTTCAACAGTCAAGATGAGTAATATTTGATGGAATCATGTACGTCTAATGAAAAAAGTCTCTTGTGAATTAAGGTGTCAAAATCAATGGTATACATACTCATATAGTATAATATATTTTTATTAAACTAAATTATCAAAATTTACTTACATAATTTATTTTTAAAATAATGTAACCCCGATATATTTAGGGCTGGTTTGGCAAATTTTAAAAAATTCAAAAAGTCAAAAAGTCACTATCCTATTTAAGTCACATCATCTTATTTATATCACACTACCTCTCTAACACATCACTTCAAACCCAACTCAAATTTCATAAAAAGTCAAAAAGTACACTTATTTAGATCATCCCAAACAACTCCTTATAATTGTGTCCATATTAATGGATGCTATGATTTTAAATAAAATAATAACACTAATCCTTATCAATATGTATAATAATTTTGTATAATTTTGTTTTTTTGTTTTTATATCACTAATCTACACTCATACACATGCATGAATATATATATATATATATATATATATGCGCGCGTGCGCACGCGCGTGTTTTTATGATAAAGTATATATTATTTCATGTATCATTGTATTAATAATATACATGATGTGAAATTCTTTTAATAAAGTAATAATGACATATAAAACAATAAATATTTTATCATATATTAATACAATTATATGATATTGTTGGATTAATTTTCAACAATAGGAAGACTACTACCAACTACTGTGTTGACAAGGTCAAAATGAACTTCGCCGAGTCAATGTGAATGAGATCAAAATGATAAAAAAGTAGAGTACCCTCAATACCATGTGCATGTTCCTCTAGACCAAGTCAAGATAGAGAAAACACAACAATTTTAATCACAACACAAATAGGAACTTAAAAATTATCTAGAAATATTAATATGTGGTTGAGATTCATTCTATACATGAACTTCATAATATGTTCTTTTAATTCTCACTAGACACTCTATTCTTGATACAAATTTAGAATAGTAAATATAAATTTTTACAGTTACTGTAATTTCAATTCAGCAATAATGAAAATTTATAATATTAACTAGAAATCTATCTTAAAATATGGATCCACACTTGACACTTTAAATCCAATTAGAACAGATTCCACAAGATCAAAAATTTAATCAAACCGAATTACAATACATTTTGAGTTACTTAAAAATTAATAACTAACCTTTCGCCGGCACAAACAATATACCCGACCCATTACCATAGTCGGACCCCATATTATAACGCCGGAGCAACTGCGCCTCCACGCCGGACTCTGCTGCCACTGACCACAAATCCTCACCGGGTTGAAGCGGGTACGTCGCAAACAACCCATAATCCATGGAAACCTGCCCATCGCCACACGAACAATTCACTGTCACATTAACGGGCACATATTCGGGTATCTGGGTCGGGTCGTACACATTCATCGTTTGGATCCACTCTATGGTTGTGAGATTGGCAAAAACCACCTCAGCAATCTTGGCATAGGTATCAGAAGGTTGAGTTTTGTAGGTGAAAGTATGGCCCAAGAAATCACCATTCAAGCACTCACATGGAAATGGGATGTTGACCCGGGTATTGACCCATATCATATTCGGATTCTGGATATTCGGGTTAAATGAGAGGATTTCAGAGATTTTTTTGCCAAAGATGTGGCTTATGTAAGTGAGGTTTGTGCCTTCCCATATGTTGTATGAAGCTATGGCAAGGTTACAACCACTTCTACACTTGGCATCAACTTTGAAAGAAAAGAAGAGGAGGAGATAGAAGAGAATAAGAACAAGCCTCATTGTGTTTGATGAGGGTATGATCATTGTGGGAGAAGAGAGAGAGAGAGAGAGAGAGAGAGAGAGAGAGAGGAAATTGATGGAAAGGAATGATCTAAGATGCCATATGACAAGTGTTGTACATGAACAAAAACAAATATATATTTTATCTTTGAAATTTTGTCTTGACTAATCACATTTTTTATTAATTATTATTAATTTTTGATAGAAAAGGAACAATAACATAAATTAATTGGACTATAAAGTTCTGGGTATAGCACCCTCTAGCATCATCTTATAATTGATTTGTAATACCAGTGGAAACATTATGGAAAATATGCAATTCATCAATTGTAATGTTGCCTTGATTTACTAATATATTTGACTGCTCCCAATTGATTCATGAGGTACCTTCATTTCAAATATATCAAGTAATTATTACATATAAATCTTAAGATAGCCTTAAAAGATAGTAAAGAGTAGAACTTTTAACCATTAGTCTACTTCTTAAAGTTCAAACTCATAATACTGTGCTGTGTAGAGAAAAGTAAATATATCGTTCATATTCATTATAGGTACATTGAGAACCACACCAAAAAGAAACGAAAAATGTTACTCGTCAACAAATTTATTTTATCATTTTATTTTACATTCTAGGTGTATTCATGCTATTGGAAAAGATATGTTTTTGGTGACTTTAATGTGAAATTAAAGTAAGTAGGTCTCAACCATTGGTTGATGTGAGATTAAATGAGTTTAGATTTTTTGTAATAAAGTCTTTATACCACAAAAAGAATGATAAAAAACTATTAATAATTGAATGAGAAATTGTCTCATAAAGATGGCCTCATGAATAAAGTATTGAGAATTGTGTATAACTACCAATCCCATATTGATTGTAGAAGAAAGCTTTGATGGGTATTTAAACCGCAAGATTTTGATAAGGGCATGGGCCTTTTGGGGCATCCAAATTTTTCAAGGAAAAGAGTTATGGATGCTTAAAAAATGAGCTTGGTCCAAGACTATGATCCAAATTGGTTCTAGCAAAATTGCCACACACGCACCGCCTGGGCTGGGTCCGTGAATCGTGGATCTTAAGACTGTCTGCTATACAGAATATATATCTCATATTATTGTCCCATCAGTTTTGGTCCATTACTCCAACAGTTTTGTAGGAGTAATGAGCATTGGTAGCCAACTTTTATGGTTGAAGGCTCCTTCTCCCTCCACTATTGTGTATAAAAGGAGGCCCATCTTCCTTGGTTTGTTACAGAATGTTTTTGCTCTCAGATTATAGTCATGTTAGTCTCCTCTTATAATATATTATTCTTGTGTGAGAGAGTGCTGCCATTGTCAGCTCGCCAAAACTAATAGAAGGTGTTTCTGCGTTAGTCGGTCTAAACCATCTTACCCTAGGAGACAGAAGTCGATGTTCTTCCCGTACCCACAGTGAGACGGCTAATCTATTTTAAGGACATTGTGGTATCGCACAAAATTTGATTTGATTCCTTATTTTCAATATTTCGGTTCCATATGTATTTTTATTAATCATGTTTCCTGTTATATAATTTAACTGATTAAGTATGAATCTATTTATTTTAATTAATTCACAAATTAATACAACACATGCAATAAAAGCAATGTATACGTTTAAAATCCACTATTATGTTACATAGAAAACCATATATAATATTTGTCGCACATAATTATCTTGTGTGTATATTTTATGATTTTATTATATGCATATACTATTTAGTTTTTTTTGAACTCCGTTTGGTTAGATTTGAAATTCATTTTAGAAGATAAGTTTTTAAAAAGAGTTTGGCACTAAAAAATAAATAATTTATTTTTAAAATACATTTATCGGTTTTTTTTAAAAAATATCTAAGCAATAATAAGTAATAAAATCCTAGGATATTCCCATCAATCTTTTTTTTTTTTTGAAAATTGAAAATACGCGGTATTTCTACAAAATATTTATAAATTCATGAAAACAACTTATAATTTTAATAATTAAAATTAATAAAAATTTTCACCTATTTGTAATTTTTTTTGAAAATTTGCACTGAAGTTCATTTTTTCCTTTTTTAGGGGGGTTTGAAAATCAGGCTAAGGTCAACAACAAAAAGAAATAGTCTACTAAAACAAAAATGAAATATATATTAAGGTGATGTTTGATTAGTAAGATTATAATATATGATTGGGATTATTAGTTTATGGACTCACAATTTCTTGTTTGATTGCAAATTTTATTAACCGGATTATGTACGGTAGATGTTTAATTCGATAAAATTGCCAAATTTTTAATATTAATAATGGTTGAGATCATAATTTTAAGAATGAAAGAAAAAAATAACAAAACAAATATATAATAAATAATTATCTCACTAATTTAATTAAATAACTAATCTTAATTTATAAATATTATCTCACTAATCTTAATTAAATAACTAATCTTAATATAATAAATAATTTCTCCCAACATAGTGGTATCAGAGCTTGGTTCATATTTTTGTGCATCTTGTGTTGAATAATGGAAGCAAATTTGAGTAGAATGGTTACCTTGAATGGTTATAATTATCACACATGGAAAGGAAAAATGGAAGACCTCCTTTATGGAAAACAATTTCATCTACCGGTGTTTGCTACTGAAAAACCAGAAAATAAATCTGATGAAGAATGGACAATACTACATCGACAAGTGTGTGGGTACATTAGGCAATGGGTGGATGATAATGTTTTGAATCATATTAGTGGAGAGACACATGCCCGTACACTCTGGAACAAACTTGAACAATTGTATGCTCGGAAGACTGGAAACAATAAAATGTTTCTAATAAAGCAATTGATGACCTTGAGATACCAAGATGGAACCCTATTGACAGATCACTTGAACACTTTTCAAGGAGTAATTAATCAGTTTGTTGGAATGGGTATCAAGTTCGACGATGAGGTACAGGGGTTGTGCTTGCTTGGTACATTGCCGGACTCTTGGGAGACATTTAGAATGTCGTTATCTAACTCGGCTCCAGATGGTGTAATCAATATGGATCTGGCTAAGAGCAGTATTTTAAATAAAGAGATGAGGAGGAAATCACAGGGATCTTCTTCACAGTCAGAGGTTTTGGTTACAGAAAGGAGGGGGAGAAGCAAGAGCAGAGGTCCGAAGAACAGAGATAGAGGTAGAAGCAAGTCCAACAAGTTTGCTAATGCTGAGTGTTATCATTGTGGCATGAAAGGGCACATCAAGAAACAGTGCAGACAATTGAAGAGAGAGAACAAGGAGAAAATGATTGAGCATGATGGAAAGGATAATGATCAAGTTGCCACCGCTACTTCCGAAGACTTTCTCATTGTTTATGATGAAGATGCTATTAACATAGCATGCCATGAGACCAACTGGGTGATTGATAGTGGTGCCTCTATTCATGCTACATCTCGAAAAGATTTCTTCACATCCTACATACCTGGTGACTTTGGTTCAGTAAAGATGGGTAATGATGGCTTGGCCAAAATTATTGGTGTTGGAGACGTGCACTTGGAGACGAATAATGGCACGAGGTTGGTTCTTAGAGATGTAAAGCATATTCCTGATATTCGTATGAATTTGATTTCTGTACGTAAACTTGATGATGAAGGGTATTGCAACACTTTCAGTAATGGTCAAAAGAAGCTCACTAGGGGTGCTATGGTTGTGGCTCGAGGCAAGAAGCATTCTACTTTGTACGTAATGCAAGCAAGGCTCCCCAAAGAAGCTATTAATGCAATGGATGATGAGTCTACAGTGGAATTGTGGCATAAAAGGCTTGCTCACATGAGTGAGAAAGGCCTGGCAACATTGGCTAAAAAGAATCCTCTGTCTGGAATGAAGAATGCACTTTTGAAAAGGTGTACTCACTGTTTGGCAGGAAAGCAGAATAGAGTTTCCTTCAAGAGTTCCCCTCCTTCAAGAAAGCCAAATATACTTGATTTGGTATATTCAGATGTCTGTGGTCCTATGAAGACAAGAACACTTGGTGGCTTCCGTTACTTTGTGACCTTCATAGATGATTATTCAAGAAAGTTGTGGGTCTACACTTTAAAAAGCAAAGATCAAGTGTTTGAGACTTTTAAACAGTTCCAAGCCTTAGTTGAGAGACAGACTGGGAAGAAGCTCAGATGCATCAGAACAGATAATGGGGGAGAGTATTGCAGTCCTTTTGATGATTATTGCAAACAACAGGGTATTCGACATCAAAAGACACCCCCGAAGACTCCTCAGTTGAATGGTTTAGCTGAAAGGATGAACAGGACACTGGTTGAAAGAGTTAGATGCTTACTTTCACAGGCACAGTTGCCAAGATCTTTTTGGGTGAGGCTTTGAGTACAGTTGTACATGTTCTTAATCTCACACCATGTGTTCCTTTTCAGTTCGATGTACCAGACAGAGTTTGGACTGGCAAGGATGTTTCCTATGATCACTTGAGTGTCTTTGGATGTAAAGCATTTGTTCATATTCCCAAAGATGAGAGGTCTAAGCTCGATATGAAGACCCGACAGTGCATTTTTCTAGGCTATGGCCTAGATGAGTTTGGCTACAGGTTATATGATCCAGTTGACAAGAAACTAGTGAGAAGTCGAAATGTTGTATTTATTGAAGATCAAACTATACAAGATATTGAAAAAGCAGATAACACAATGTCCTGGCATAGTGATGGTTTAGTTGACTTGGATCCGGTTCCTCTGACAGATTTGCCTGCACAGGTTGAACATGATGTTTAGAATGACCAACAAGGTCTAGGTGATGCTGATGACCCCTTACAGGTCGAGACATGTGATGAGACTCTTGAGCAGTTGGCAACACTAGAGATATCACCAGATGTTCTAATCAGGAGGTCAGCTAGAGACCGACATCCTTCCACTTGGTATTCTGCAGATGACTATGTGTTAATGACTGATGGGGGAGAGCCCAAGGGTTATGCAGAAGCCATGGAAGATGATCATAAGCTGGAATGGGCTGATGCGATGCAAGATGAGATGCAATCATTGTATGACAATCACACTTTTGAGTTGGTGAAACTGCCTAAGGGCAAGAGAGCTTTAAAGAACAAGTGGGTGTACAGGGTAAAACATGATGAACTCACTTCACAACCACGATACAGAGCTAGACTCGTTGTCAAAGGGTTCAGTCAGAGAAAAGGCATTGATTTTGATGAGATCTTCTCACCAGTTGTAAAAATGTCTTCTATTCGTGTGGTTCTTGGCTTAGCCGCTAGTCTAGACTTAGAGATTGAGCAAATGGATGTGAAAACTGCCTTCCTTCATGGTGACTTGGAGGAAGAGATTTATATGGAACAACCAGAGGGTTTCAGGGTGAAAGGAAAAGAGGATTATGTGTGTTAGCTAAAGAAAAGTCTTTATGGTCTGAAGCAGGCACCCAGACAGTGGTATAAGAAGTTTGAGTCAGTTATGGAGGAGCAAGGCTACATGAAAACTACTTCTGACCATTGTGTATTTGTGCAGAAATTCTCTGATGATGATTTTATTAGTTTACTGCTCTATGTTGATGACATGTTGATTGTTGGCAGTAATCCTTCAAGAATTGACAAATTGAAGAAGCAACTAAACAAGTTCTTTGTCATGAAAGACTTGGGGCCAACAAAGTAAATTCTTGGTATTCGAATCTATCGAAACAGAAAAGAGAAGAAATTGTACATGTCATAAGAGCAGTACATTGAAAAAGTGCTTGAAAGATTCAATATGAACAATGCTAAAGTGGTTAGCTCACCTCTTGCTACTCATTTTAAGTTAAGCACTAATCAAAGCCCTTCTACAAATAAAGAGAAGGAAGATATGGAAAGAGTTCCATATGCCTCAGCTGTGGGAAGCTTAATGTATGCAATGGTCTGCACAAGGCCAGATATAGCTCATTCAGTTGGTGTGGTTAGCCGATTTCTTTCAAATCCAGGAAGAGAGCATTGGAATGCAGTAAAGTGGATAATGAGATATATTAGAGGCACTTCCAGGTTGACACTCAGTTTTGGAAATGGACAACAAATTTTAGTTGGCTACACTGATGCAGATATGGCAGGAGATGTGGATACCCGTAAGTCTACTTCGGGTTATTTGATCACTTTCTCAGGTGGAGCTGTTTGTTGGCAGGCAAGGTTGTAAAAATGTGTTGCACTCTCTACAACAGAGGCAGAGTTTATTGCGGCAACAGAAGCTTGTAAAGAGTTGCTATGGATGAAAAAGTTCTTGACGGAGCTTGGTTTCAAATAACAACAATATGTGTTGTTTTGTGATAACCAAAGTGCTATTCACTTGGCTAAGAACTCTACATTCCATTCAAGGTCGAAGCACATTGACGTAAGGTACCATTGGATAAGAGAAATTCTTAATCATAAGTTGTTGGAACTTGGAAAAATTCATACTGATGATAATGGTGCTGACATGTTGACAAAAGCTTTGGTAAGGGAGAGGCTTGAGACATGTTGCTCAATTGCCGGGATGGAGAATCCCTCCACCTAGTCGGAAAGGGGGAGATTTGTTGGGTTGGGTTTCCATCCTATGTTGAGGAAGGCCCAAAACATTTAGTAAGCCCATGTGAATTCCAAAGCCCACATGGAGATGTTATGTTTTTTGAAAAGATCTGGCCCATAAGTTTAGGGTTACGAACCTTTTCTTTGTACACAAAAAGAGACATAGAAGCTGCCACCAAAACAGAGAGGAGAGGAGAATTCTGTCAAGCAGTGATCAAGCTATCTGATCAACATGAATCTGTGGTCCGATTAAGCTGAAATTTGGTAGGCGAGTTCACAACTCAAGACTCTAAATTCTGGACGGTGGAGATCAGATTTGGAGTTTTCTACTGCTGGTTTTTGGCCCGTGAACAGTACCGTTTTTAGTGAGATTTTTTCCTAAACTTTGTAGTTTGATCTTTGGTTGCCAAGGAAGTTTATTTGTAAGTTGTTCTTGATTGTTTGTCTCTAGTTCTATCTAGAGAGAACTCTTGCATACTCATTATTTGTTTATAGTGGAGATATTTGGTGGCCTACGGTCCCGTGGTTTTTCCTTTCCACATCGGGAAGGTTTTCCACGTTAAAAATTGCTATCGCCTTATTGTGTGATTGTTGGGTCATTGTTTTCAGATTATTTTCAGAATATATTGTGCTCTATTAAATTGCTTCCTAATAGGTTCACACAAAGAGGGAGAATAAACTACTTCGCTATTTTTGTGCCGGATTCGGATATTTCGAATTAATTTTTTGTTTTGTTTTCTCCCAACACTTGTATTGGGTCACACCACTGGAGATGGTAACAAGGTCTTCAAGAACACGAATGTATAACAGTAATATGAGACGGTGTTGTCATTTAATGATTGAGAAATTTTAGTATACAAATTTTTGAAAGAGGTGTATCATATGTAATTTTAGTTTTGTCATTTTTTTTTAATTATGAATAATTTTTTTCTTTAGTTATGATATTATTTTAGTTTTAACTTACGAATTCTTTAATTATATATTATATTGTGCTTGGTTATGATATTTTTGTTTTTTTAATTATGACTCAAAAAGTAAAAAATTATAATTTTTTTATTATAAAATACATATGATATATGATTAATTTCACGTCACGATATAACGTGATAGATTTAATAAGAGGCAAAATTTGCCCATCTAATTCTATTTATGTCTTTTTTTTATTGACGTTTGACATAATAAGAGATGATATTACTTTTAAATGAGCGTGATTCTCCCTATGAATTCTCTTCTTGATTTTTTATTTGATGGGTTATTAGGCCTAATTTTGAGTCTAATTTTGATGATCTAATTCGTTCACATTTTAAGATTCATCATGTATATTATACTTGTAAAAAATCAAGTCGATCGAATATCAAAAATCATGTGACCTAAAAGTTTAATTAAACAATAAAACTGTTTATCAATTTTTTTTTTAATAAACAATTTTTAGTTTTTTCAATATTCAATCAATTTGATTTTTTACAGGTATGATGTACATGACAAATTCTAAAATGTGAACGGTTTGGATTATCAAAATTGAACCCAAAAGTAAACCTAATGGCCCATCAAGTAGGGAGTCAAGGAGAGGATCCTTGTTCCTTTTAAATGCTTTTTTTTTTTTTTTGGTAGTGAATTCGCTTACAAATTGGTCAATTTTTAAAATTCTTTTACAAACCTTCTATTGTAGAATTTTTAAAAACTATTACTTAAAAAAGGTTATTTTTTTTAATAGGGAAAATTATAAAAAAAGTCTTCAAGATTTGAGTTTTGTAATAAAATAATTCTTGAACCATTACTCTTTTGATTTATTTTCAATTTAATCTTTTTATCTATTTTTATCGAGTAAATTTATTGAAAAAAGTGTATTTTAATCATTAAACTTAATGAAAATAGGTATAATTTTACTTAATGGAAATAAGTGGATGATGTAGATTAAAAATAAATTAAAATATTATGGTTTAAATTGATAAAATTAAAAATTTAGAATTTATTTTATTAAAAAACTTGAATCTTGATTTTATTCATTTATTTTTGTTGTAATTTTTCCTTTTTAATATTTTCCACATAAATTTTGTTGGCACCCCCTCCACACAAGTGGGAAGATACTTTGGCAAGGTGACTAGAGATATTTTTCATTATTTTGGCACAATTTGGGGTTTAAATTGTCCAAACAAACAAAATAGTACATACACATTACAAACTCAAACTTCATTTGGAGATCAGTTTATTCATCCATGGAATCCTCCACCACCACAATTCTTCAACTCTCTCATCAGTTCTCTTTTTTACCTCCAAAACTCCGCAGAAGAAGAGGAAGAAGCATAATGGATTCTTCTCCATTTAGGCCATGGAAGCAGATGATTTCGCAACCCACTCGTTTCTACTGTCAAAAGATGTATGTCCCTGGTATGCAATTATATATATATTTAGTGTTTTTTCTAGATATTTGACTTTTTATAAATGGAAATATCATATTAGTGGCATTTAAAAAATAATCATAAACTTTTCCACTTACATGTAATTATTTTTGAAAAAATGTAATTGACCCTTTTATAAATCCTATTCGGAAGAAAAACTATCTCAAGTTTTTCTTAGTAATGTGTTTGTATAATGAAAATTAAATTTATATATAATGTAGAATTCAAATATAAATGAATCTAGTCACAAATTAATATTTTTTGATCAAATTTCTAAATTTATAATATTACTGTTGAGTTTTTTTTAATGAGGTGAAGAAAGTTGGCTATAGTCTCAGAATTTGTGTCTAGAAAAGTTGGGTCAGAAATTGATTTTAAATGTGGACCATCAATGAAGAGTTGAATTTGGATTATAAAATCAATTTATGGATAAAATTTTTGAGTCTATCAATTTATTTGGTTTGGATTTTTAGGATTCATTTTTTAAAAAATTAAAAAATTTTATTTTTTATATTTTTTTCTTTTCACTAAATTTCTTTAATATTCTAAATAATTTTTTTTTTTAATTTTTAGATACGCTTAACACAAATACAGTTAAAAAGTTTAATATTTGTGAAAAAATCTTTAGAAAATTCACTAAATATAAAAAATATAAAAATATATATATGAGAATTCAATTCATTTTTCAAATTCTTGTGTATTTATTGATTTTTTTTTTCAAAAAAAATTGCAAATATTTTATGTTTTAAATACATCTAAGTAAGGTGCATCTAAAAAAGTAAAAAAAATTGCTTAAAATTTTAAAAGAGGACTAAATCAACAACTTTAAAAGAGGTTTTTTTTTTTTTTAAAAAAGGTTTTTTTTTTTTTTTTTTTTTTTTTACATTTTTTGAATGTTTTTATATTTAAATTTTATTTTTCTTACTTTTTGATATGAATAATTATTAATTATATTCTTATATTTAAGTTTTGCTAACATATATTTTTTTAATTGATAATGGCTAATTAATTGTTTTAAATTTTTTTAAGACTATCATCATAATAATTTTGACATTCAAAATAAATAAATAAATAAATATATCTTCATACATTAGAAAATATTCTGATTTGAATTAAACAAAGTATAGAGACAAAGTGTGTGGACGTTGAATCTTTTGTTTTTATTGAGATACATGTCGGGTGAAAGTAAAGACAATTGTATTTTTATAAATATCTGTTATTTTTATAAGTTAATTAGTGTAGTTTTTTGGGGGCTTTTTTGTAATGGGCCTCTTTCTATTTGGACAAAGGGCTTTCTTTTCCAAACACAAAGGTTAGTTTTGGCTTCATGGTTTAGGGTTTTTGTCGTGAGGAAAAAGAATAAGGAAAAATAATTGAAATTTTGAAAAAAAAAATGAAGAATGCGTATATGTGGTTAAGGTATATTATGAGAAAAAAATAATATTTTATTTTAAGATTTAATATGTATTATCCGTATTAGTAAATTTGTATTAAGATATAATAGGAATTAAAATTTTAAAATTTTAATTAGACATACTTAATAATTTTTTGTTACCTTTCTTGTTTAATGGGCCTTTTTTCATCTAAACAAATCCCTTATTTTCTAAAAGAAGATGTAGAAACTATATATGATCTTAATTATAAAATATAGGTTTTCAAAAAAATTGCAACCTTCAAAAATTGGAGGCCTAGAGCAATGGAGTTATTGGCTTTATGGACCATGGTTGTAGTAATCTTTATTTATGGCGATCCACATAAACCTTGTTTTTTTTATGTGTGCATAAGATATAGGGCTGAGCAAGGAATCCGTGAAATCCGTAATCCGATCCAGTCCAGTCCAATCCGATAGGTTTAGATTGGTTTTTTGAATCCGTGGTTCGGTTTCGGATTGAACAATTAAAAATCCGTAGTCCACGGATTGGTTCCGGATTGAACCCCACGGTTCCGGATTGGAACCGATCCGAACCGTATACAAATAGTCTATATTTTTATTATACATCCTCCCCATAGTATCTTCTCTTATTCCATATAAAACCTAAACTCAAACTTAAACCCGCATAATATCTTCTTTTATAACTTTTGTTTGTTAGTTTTTAGTTTTAATTTGTAATGGTTTAAATACTTATGGTGAAATCAATTTTCTTATGGTTGTTTAAATTCTAGAACAGTATGTCGCTATTATAGAAAGACATGTTGCTATTGTAGAACTAATATAGCACTATGTTTATGTTTTTATGAAATTAAAGTGTTATATATACATTTTTTTGTTATTTAATTATGTGAATCCGTGGTCCTAAACCGATCCAATCCGTGTTTAAATGGATTGGTTCGGATTGGTTCCATGATTTAAACGGATTGGATTGGTTCCAATTTTTCAGGAACCGTAAATAATGGATTGGTTCTGGTTTTACTCCCAATCCGGTCCAATCCGGACCATGCTCACCCCTAATAAGATATATATTTTTCTGTTCTTTTCTATTATCATGTCTCACCTATCTTGATCCTAGCTTTCACAATTCCTAACAGATACCTTGAGGCTGTGCTTGAATAGTAGATTTGGATAGGAAATCCCAATTTCATGATATTTGAGTGTAATTTTAGTAAGGTTTTGTTGATGAAGGGTTTGGAGAAGCATCACCAGAAGCAAAGGGAGCCAAGAACCTCCACAATTTCTTCACTTACATTGCAGTTAGGATTGTTACTGCCCAGCTTCAGGTTCCTTCTACTCCATCCATATATATATGAATATACATATCTTATTATTGGTTCTCAGTCTTCATAATGTCCTCATGGCTGAGTTCTAAATAAATATCACCCTGCTATGTATTGTACTGGCCATGTTCGTTTTGGAATTTTGATCCTCCAACTGAGATAATTACCAATATTTCATTATAACCCGATTTCACAATCGTATTAGCCTATACGTATTGGTAATGGTATCGGTATCAGTCTACACATGTATAAATTGATTTTAAATTAGTATAGGCCGATACCTATCAGTCTTTTGTCAACAATATAAATAAAACGCAGTTCTAAATGTCACAATATTGAACAAAATGTGACAATTAAGTATATAAAAGTCAAAATATGCACATCATAAAGGTTTAGGACTTTTGATGGTAATTTAAAAAATTCTTGATCATGTCATTCAATAATTCTTAATACGAATTGCTTGACACTCTCAATATCATTACATTGCGACTGTCATAATAATTCTACATGCTCCGTGCAGTGATTTGGAACCTTATGAGTAATGGTATTAGTTATTTAAGCAAGATAATTAGGAAATATAAAACATTAAACTCCTAAAATCAACGACAGATCCGGCATTTGAACTTTTTTTTTTTTTTTTTTGGGGGGGGGGATACACATGTAATTTCTCATTTTCTTGCAATTATCTTACTATTACTAATATAATATAAGTAGTTTTTCCAATTTTTGGGGGGTGCGGTCTAGATCCATCCTTGCGTAAAATCATATACTAGTATTGTGAAAATGGTCTCTAGGATTTGTGTTTGAAAATAAGCTTGAAATTGGTGTATAAAACATGTATATTTGGACCATTTTCATTTGTAAATGTTTACTTGACAGAGCAGAGTTATAATCCTGAGGCATATGAAGAGTTGATGGAGTTTTTGGGTACTCACTCATTGAATGATGGAGACAAGTTTTGTGCAGATTTGATGAGGGAATCTTTGCGGCATAAAAGTTTAGGTATGCTAAATTGTTTTCATATCCATAGTCAGCAATCAAAACAAATTTATATGAGCTGTTTATAATAAATTTTTTTATTTTATTTTAGACGTTTGTGTCAAATTGTTAGTACATTTTTACATACAACTTATTAAATAAAAATAGCTTGGATAAGTTAAAAAAAAAGAGTTGATTATCTAGAAGTTAAGAGAGAAATGCTTTTGACTTCTATTTTTTAGATTATCAGCTTTTAACTTATAATAAGTTGCATTAAACAGGCTCAAAAATAACTAATTTAGAAAATCTATGATACCAAAAAAACTGTTTAATTAAACAATTGTAGCCATGTGGAAATGATCTAAAGAAATTCTCATTGATTTTTTCATTGTTTTTGGGCTAAAGAAGGTGACAAAAATCTTAAATTTGTTTTTCTTGTTTCTTTTTTCTCAATGGCATGTTTTGTTTGAAAGGACTAAATTAGGGAACACAAGGATAAGTGATTCCATGGGTTCCACATTTTATTGGTATGTATCATGGTATTATTGATTGGGATTATATATACTAGTGGGTGACATATACGATGTGTGTGCAATTCAAATAAGTAAGAATAAAAATATATAATAAAAAAATTAGTATCATAATATATATGTTGCTTAAGTGTTAAAAGTGTTGCTCATGAAACTTAAGGTCTTGAGTTCACACCTTAAAATAATAATTTTTTTATTTTAGGCTAGATAAAGCTATCACGTTGACATCAAATTCAACTTTCACTTAATAATAGTATAGAAGATAGATAGATAGATATACAATGAGAATGTTTGCTTAGAGTGAGATAAAAGATGAGATCAAACTTGAAAAATTATTTTTTACTATTAAATTATGGATGGAAAATAATTCGCAAGGAGGGTTGATTGTCCGTCCAAGGGGAGGGTAAGATTCATTATAGTTTCCACACATGTATTATTAACGATTTAGGTCAGTTTATAAATCTGGTCGAACAAATGTCGGATTAAAAGGGAATTGGTAAAAAACAATAAACGTCACGTCTTCTAGTCTAATTTGAAATCCCTCTAGTTCTAAACAAACGCTTTCAATGTACTATGACTATCAATCATAACACAGTAAAATCTCAAAATATAATTTTACAACTAAAACTGCATCAACACACAACCCAAAAAAAAAAAGAACAAAAGATCCCAACATTTTTTGGGGGTGTATGCTAGAAAATATTTATTTTATCTGTTGTACATAAACTCCTAATATTAAAGATCTAACTCTTGTGAATTCTCTCTCTCTCTCTCTCTCTGTCTGTCTCATGTGGGAATTACAAATTGCAGCTTTGCGCATATTAGAGGTCAGTTGTTTTTTGAGAATTCAGAATTAATTAATTAATTAATTTTTTTTTCTTCTTTGTGCTTGGATTTTAAATTTTAATAAAAATTTATAGAGGGAAAAAAAAGAAGAAGTGAATGGCTACTTATCTTTCCTTATTTATTTTTTTCTCTGCCTAAATTTATTACATATTTGAGTAAATAATATGATAATATGAAGCAGGTTAGATCAGCATATTGCAAGAATGATTTTGAGTGGGACAACTTAAAGCGGTTAGCTTCTAAGGTCAAGAATTTACTACTACTATTCTTTATTTTGTTTTCTCAAAGTTTCTCTTTCTATTCTCTATATGTTTTGTTGTGTCTCATCATTTTTATTCACAATTTGTTAATTTGTTTTTGTTTTTTTGACAGATGGTTGATGAATCTAACACAAGAATCATGAGGGATTATGTTTTGGAACATGTGGAAAGAGATAAATGATCTCTCTCTCTCTGTCTCTCTCAAAATGTATTTAATAAATAGAACTGATAATGGGTTGTAGAAAATTTATAAATTAAAAATAACTTGTTTCAACTAATTAAGAGGTCATGGCATACAAATCCTCGTGTAATAACTTGTTACCAATACGTATAGGCTAATACGATTGTGAAATCGGGTTATAATGAAACATTAATACTGTGTTTGGTTGGGGGATTTGGAAAGAGATTTAGAAAGAGAAAGGGAAAAGGTGTGCGAAACTAGGTGAAATTTAGGCATGTTTTATTCACATTTCACCTATCTTTTCTATTTTTCGTTCCAAATCCCTCCTCAAATTCCCAACCAAACACAGCATAAGAGGTCATGGCATACAAATTCTCTGTTTCTCTCATTTCATGCAGAAGTTAATCATAGGCTATTAATTTTCTCATTTGGTATGTATGTGAAGTACAAATATTTATAATTTTTTTAAAAATAAATCTCTGCTTATCGTAGAGAAATTAACATAGGAATTTCTGTGTTCTAACACGTACATTGTAAAAATAGGTTTTCGGTCAACTTTGAATTAAAACTAAAATAGGTCTCACACGTCTATTGTTGCGGGTTCACGGTGCAGCACGTTCACCTCTGTGTTCTCAAAATTATTAAGGAGTGAATGGAAGATTGACTCCCAAAATTACCACTTAAACATTGACATTGGTTAAAGAAGGGTAACTAGTTTTGAAAAGCTTATCACATTGATTTTTTATATCTAAAAATAAATTGTTGGCTTTATTTTAGGGACGGGATTGTCTCCATCTAATTAGACCGTCCAATTTAGCCCACTGGTTGCCTATGATCTAAATCGTTCATTTTGTTTCTAGAGTAAAAGTTGATCATACATTATTAGCCATTTAACCGGATCATATTCATCAGGAAAAAAAAATAAAAATAGATAACATCCATAGTCATACTGCTCCAACAATTACTCCTTGTTGGTAATTTTCCATAATAATACATGAAAATAAATAAAATAAATTAAATAGAAATGACAAAATAATTTTTTATTATAAGGATGAAATACAGAATAAACGACACAACTAAAAATACAGAAATGAATTAGATTACATTACTAATAGAGCAAATTATTAACATAGATAACTAAAAATTATAACTCATTTTTGTAAACTAAATATTGAAAAATTTAAGAACAAATGATAAGAAAAAAAGAAAACCGAAGCATGCACAGGACAGTTTCTTTAAAACAGATTCATCGCCTTCTAACGGATGCTAGAGGTACGCTGGCGTCTGTCTCCCAGGATACGACGGTCGAAACCAGCTAATACAGAAGCACCTTCTGAATAGCTTTGGTGAACTTGGCAATGGATGCATTCTCTCTAACAATAACCAAAGAAGAGGCTAGCAAAAGAAGATAGGAAAAATTTTCTTTGGTGTAAAAAACCATCTCTAACTTTTTATCTCAAAGCACCATCTCCATTTTCTATCAAATATCTCTCCAAAATTATTCTGCTAAGTTGGAGGGGAAAGGGTTCTATTTATACAAGTAGGGGAATTCCTAACCATGAAAGCTATACATCAATAGGGCCATCAAATACCATTAACCAAGGTAATCAACTCTAGCCACTAGGACTAAAATTACAAAGGTTGAAAATCTATTGCCACTAATATGGTCATCAACTCCATTATCTAAAGATGAGAGTTACAAATGTGCAAATCTCTTATGTGCTTAATATATATAAATAAATATTTACATAATGATGCTTGAATTAACCAATTAGATGGGTCACAAAATGGATACTAATGTTGGGTCACAACCCAATCCAAGCCAAATTCTCAAACACATGCACAAGCTAAACCCAACGCAATATAGCTTAGCCCAAGCTCAAGATTAAGTTTGAGTCAAAATCCAAGACCAAACCCAGCATATGCTCAAGCACAAATACAAGCACAAGTCTAGGCCCAGTTCAAACTAAGACTAAAGTCCAAATCTAAGCCCAACTTTTATTGATGCCCACTTTATGAGACAATTCTCATTTACAACTCAATGATTTTGACTCATTATTTTTGTATTGCAATCTTCTCACTTAAGAGAATACAAAACCACTCAGACCCACTTCAACTGACAGCTGGATCCTATTTTAATTTCGAATTAAAGTTGCCGAAAACTCATTATTTTCCAACAATCTCCCACATGAATAAATTTGGCTAAATAAAGAAAAATAGATAGCGCTTAACAACAAAGACTTGGAGAGAAAGCACACAGAATAACCCTACATCAAACAGGGTAACTGCTGGCTTTGAACCTTTCGTAGTGAAAGCCTATTGAATTTACTGGCTGACCAGTAAACGTGATGTCTTGAACTATTCTGCCATTTGTGTAAATCGAGACAATAGACCTCATACAGGAGTTATTCCAACCATTATTCTTGTTCTCACTAGTGTGTCTGGTTTGGCCCTAGAACACTAGCCTAATTCAGTGAGTGTTTTTAAAGAATTCAACCTTGTCAATTCTTAAAAAAACGGCCCCACTTCCACTCACATGGGTGGCCTATATAAGCTATCTCGCTATATTACGATTGACTATTCACAACACTTAGGTCATTAAAAGCATCATCTTAACCTCCCACCCCATAGGGTATCATTGTATAAAGGAATGGGCAGGAGGATTTACCTCCACAGTGACTCATCTGTTACACGTAATTAGGTTGTCTCTTTGAACCTAGATCTTGGGATCTTCAGTCAATGAGGTTGGGTTTTCCATTCTGGTAACATTCGCTAAAGACCGTAACCCCATTCCTCTTGACGACTTCTTACTAACTCTCGATTTAACCCTTAGGTTAACAGATTTGTAATATTGTCCTTAAACTATATATAGCCTATAGTAACAACACACAAGAGTAGTCGTCGTATGGAATTATGTCTTCGATGAAAATGTCTAGACCTTCCATTATACGTATTACTCTGTGCCTTACCAATACTTGATTGGTTGTCGCAAAGTATACAAGATTGCTAGCACAAGTTTCAATCAACATGGAATATCCTCAAGAAAACAACAAAGTCATTCAACGACTTTAGTAGCTTTATCTAAATCACCAAATTCTTATTCCATTATTGATCTCATGATACACATATCCTTAAAAGGTTTCCAAGACACAGTTACACCTCTAATAGTGAAAACAAATCACTAATGGATTTGCAGTCTTTATATTAGATATCCAGGTAACGTCACTGTATCCTTCTAGTACAACCAGATATTTGGGATAATGCAACCCATAATCCTGACTTCATTGTAAGTACCTTAGTACCCGCACAAACGCCCTCTAAAGATAGGCGTTGGGATTACTCGTGCATCTACTTACCCTGCTTATTGAGTAGGCTATACATGACCTTGTACACCTTATCAGATACTTTAAACTTCCAATGACCCGAGAATATTCTAGTTGAAATGCACTCTCACTATTATTGTCGACCAAATGTAGACTTAAGTCTACCGGTGTCCTCGACACACTCGTATTTGATTTACTAAATTTCTCAATTTTTTTTTTATTTAACATAATGAGACTAAGAAAATACAATATTACCAGATGTTCTGTTAATCACATCTATAAAACCCATGTCTTTGATGCCAATCTTAGAATTTAACAACTTCTTGGTAATTCTGAACATCTTCTCATAATTACCAATCGTACAGACACAAATTGACATATCTATTTGTCAGTGTCTTTGACATACACATATTTATCAATCCCTATTTATTTAAAACCCTCTTGACAACATTGTGTTGTCAAATTTCTCTTGCCATTGTTTCGGTGCCTATTTTTTACTAGAGAAATCAAAAGTTCCAATTTTGTAAATTGTATCAGGTTTAACAGTTGGGATAGTCCATTTATCTAAGGCTTCCTTAACATCTTGGTATGCTACAAGTTCTGCTACTTCTGATGTAGAAGCTATTGAATTGGCTACTGTTGTTATATCTGAAGGTTCGGTGGAAGACATAATGGATGTAATATGACCATATATGCATAATTTAAATAAAATATAACAATAACACCAATAATAAACTTGGCTCTGATACCATATAAGCTGAAACAGGGCTACAAGTTTAGATAAGCTAAGACAGGGTTACAGGTTTAGCACATCTATCAATGTTTTACAAGGAAATAGCCCTATACGCTTTTACTGCAACACGGACCTACACCTAAACGCGACTTGGGTGACGCCCCACTAAACTAAACCTAGTTCCATCCTTACAAAGCATAAACCCAAGAATATATATATATATATATATATTACATATTATTAGTATTATTATTGTATTAGATTTAAATTTGTACATATATGGTCTCATGATTTACTGGTGAGGTGGTAGAAGTCGATTAGCGGCTGCCAAGCGGTAGATCTCTTCTTGGATCCGCTGTTCAGTTAATCTTATCTGTTGATTAATAAATTCTAATTGTTGATTAATATATGGTTGTAAATACCAATCTTGTAGTTGGTTCGACTATGAGTTACGACATTGAATATAAAATTCTAATACTTTATGCAATTCAACAAGTAAATTCATGGACATGCATAAATATGAAAGTAAAGAAGAAAATACTTACAATCAGAGTCTTCAGAATAGCATAGTTCTTTAATACATCATTTATATATCATAAACTGAGAAAATTTACAAGAGAGGAAGAGAGATACACTTCAAAGTACTTAGAAAGAGAAAATTTTCAAGCTAAAAAAACTCTGTCTCAACAAGGGTGAGGGTATCCCTTAAATAGAAAAACAATAATAAAGATAAAATAAGGTAGAGAACAGGTGGCGTGTCCTGGATAGCTTGGAGTCAATCGGCCTTATCCTCATGGCTGAATGGTTTTACTTTTGACTCAGCATCCTTATCTTCATTGAGCTGGATTGGGACAGCTGGATAAAACTAGATAGTCATGTGCCACATGGTAGATCAAGTATCTGTTTTTCTGAAAATATCTTCATTGTTGGTTGTCATTTTATGTCGACACTCCTGGTGAATCTTACTTTTGACTCACGCTTTGCCTTTTCCTTTTTTATTTTTCTCCTTGTCAATCTTTTCTACAATCATGCTAGTAAGTGAATCCCAAAAATCACCAAAGTTGGCTTCATCACCTATAAGGTCTCGTGATTCCCCGGCTAGAACAACAAATTCGTTTTCATCCTAGTCTG